AGATTACCTTAGTTTATTGTTTTATAGACAGCTTGATGCTATTGATATGACTACAGCCAAAATTGACATAATTTTTCTAAATAGTTGTTTTCCCTAATAATCTATGATTGAGACTGACTAGGGGTCACAGAGTATACTGTGGTATGGTGCCAAAGAACAAGGGACTAGGCCAGGGGAGCAATAGTTTCTCATCTCCAGCAAACTGAGGAGGTAAGATCTTCCAACAGACTCAGAGCCTGAAAAGCAGCTACACATGGAAGATATATCAGAGAAATGATCATAACCTGGGTGTGCTAAATACCACCAATAAAGCAGCTCATCATAGGCAACTAGCAAGTATCACTCCAGGAATTATACTAAAAAAGAAAAGAAAGAGAAGACACTTAAGACACAACCTCAGACACCCAGTTCACCAAAGGCAAACCCAGTGGTAATGTAAAATTTGAAAGCCTCCCCACACACACACACACCAGGTTTCTCTGAAGTAGTATCAAAGCAATTGAATGAGGCTCTGGAAAAAAATGAAATCAGAAATAATCTCTGAAATCTCTACAGAGATTACCAAAATGCACACCATGCTTAGTGATGTCAGAGCAGACACAGACAAAAAAAAAATAGAGGAGCTTAAGCAAATTATGGAAGCACATAATAGGAAACAAATGATAAAGCAGATTCAAGGAGAAATCCAGCAGAATAAAAACTCCACTGAAAGTATTCAAAACAGATTAGGCCAGTGTGAGGACAGGATCTCAGATATTGAAGACAGGATTGCAGTTGGTGACTGGGAAAAGAAATATTTCTCAAAACTATCAAAAGAACATGAGAAATCATTCCAGATGCTAGGTGAGATAAAAAAGAATAGCTTAAGATTATTGGAGTTAATGAACAAGCAGAAGATATTACAAATGACATTAAAATTATCTTAATAGGCATCATGACAGAAAATTTTCCTGGTAGAGAAAAATAATTTGATATACAAATAAGTGAGGAATGTAAAACTCCAATTAGCAATGAACAAAAAAAACCCTACATTTAGGCATATCACAGACAAGATTCCAGAAATTCAACACAAGGATAGAATTTTAAAAGCTGTTAGGGAAAAAGATAAAGGAAATTATTATTACAGCTGACTTCTCAGCACAAACTCTCAAGTCAAGGAGTCACTTAGAGTGAAGTACTCCAAGTTCTAAAGGAAAACATCTTTCCACTCAGATTGGTGTGTCCTGCAAAATTATATTTCAAAATTGATGGTGAAATAAGATACTTCCATGACAAAGAACATCTGAAGAAATTTGTGACCACAACACCAGTACTCCAAAATGTGCCGAAGGACATTCTAGAAAGAGATAATAAGGACTACAACTTCATGAGCCCCAACAGGAAAGGCAAACAATTAGAGGGAAGGGAAAAAGAAAAAAATGCATGTGGGAAGGGAGCCAATAATAGGAAAATAACATGACAAAGATAATTCAATACATATCAGTCTTAACCATTAATGTTAATGACCTCAATTCACCAATCAAAAGACACAGATTAGCAGAATGGATCAAGAAGCAAGATCCAACAATATTCTGTATGTTAGAAACACATTTAATTCTAAAAGAAATTCATGGATTGAAAGTCAAAGAATGGAAAATAATACTCCATGCAACAGGAATTCTGAAGGAAAAAATAAAGCAGGGCTTGCTATTCTATTTGCAGATAAATTGAATTTCAAGCCAAGACTGATTAAGAGAGATAAAGAAGGTCAATACATTCTGGAAAAAGGACAATCTAAGAGGAATACACAACAATCCTGAATATATGCAACAAATATTAGAGCACAAAGTTATATAAAATAATTATTAATGGACATGAAAAATCAAATAAACTTTGATACAATTGCATTGGGAGACCTCAATATCTCACTGTCACAAAAAGATAGGTCAAGTAGACAAAAACTCAATACTGAAGTATTAGAATTAAACAAAAAAATTTTTTTGTCTTTTTCATTTTTATCGGTACCGGGGATCGAACTCACGACTGCCTGCTTGCAAGGCAGGTGCTTATGCCACTAAGCTAAATCCCCAGCCCCAGAATTAAACAAAATTTTGAGCAAATGGACTTAGTAGATGTCTGTAGAGTGTCCTACCACAAGCATCGGATTACACATTCTGAACTGCACATACAAAATACACCATATAGTGACTCAAAAGACATGCTTAAGTTAATTTAAATTGATTGGCATTATCCAATTCATACAATCAGACCACAGTGAAAATAAATTGGGAATCCATACTAAGGAAACCACAAGAACTTCATCAACACATGAAAATTAAATAGCACTCTATTGAACAATCAATGTGTTAAGAAATTAGACAGTTTTTACAGTTGAACGCTAATGACAATACAACATACTGGAACTTGTGGGACACAATGAAAGCAGTCTTAAGAGGGAAATTTATAGTAGTAAGTACCCATTTCAGAAACACAGAGCAAGCCCATAAAAAAACTTAATATTGATCCTCAAACTTCTAGAAAAAGAATATCAGAATAAACCAAAACTCATGCAGGGGAGGCAATTATAACAATCAGAGCAGAAATTCTAAAAAGGAAATGCAAAAATCAGAGTTAGTTCTTTGAAAAAGTCAGTAAAATTAACAAACCCTTAGCCAACCTTATCAAAAAAGGAAAGAAAAGACTCAAATCCATGAAATTAGGAATGAAAAGAGTAAACTCAATACAGACCCTATAGAAATCCAGAAAAATCATCTATACCTACTTTGAAATCTGGTATTCTAATCAGATAGAAAATACAGAAAAAATGGAAAGATTCTTAGATGCATATGAATTACCAAAGCTGAATCAAGTAGATATAAAATCCTAAATAATGCAATATCACTAAATCAAATTAAAGATGTAATTAAAAACCCATCAACAAAGCAAAGTCCAGGCCCTCATGGATTCACTGCTGAATTCTACAAGAAATTTAGTGAAGATCTAACACCACTGCTTCACACACTATTTAATGAAATTGAAAGGGAAGCAATAGTCTTAAATTCATTTCTAGAAACAACCATTACTCTGATACCAAGATCAGAGAAGGACGCAACTAGACAAGAGACAGAAATAAAAGGAATAAAGATAGGAGAGAAAGAAGTTAAACTATCATTATTTGCAAGTGACATGATACTCTACTTAGAAGACTCCAAAGACTCCACCAAAAGACTTCTAGATTTAATAAGCAAATTCAGTAATGTAGCTGGTTACAAAATCAGGATTCAAAAATCAATAGCCTTCAATATACAAATAACAAAATAACTGAGAGAGCAATCAGTGAATCAGTACCTTTTACAATAGAATTCAAAAAATGAAATACCTAGGAATCAATCTATCAAAAACTGTAAAAGACCTCTATATTGAAAACTATAATACTCTGAAAAAGAGAACATTAGAAATTGGAGAGGTATCTCATGTTCTTGGGTAGGAAGAACAAATATAGTGAAAATGGCCGTATTTCCAAAACTGTTATACGGGTTCAGTGCAATCCCAATCAAAATTCCAATAGTATATCTTAAAGACTTAGAGAAAACAATCCTCAAATTCATCTGGAATCAGAAGAGACATAGAAAAGCAAAGGTAACAGTAGGCAACAAAAACAAAACAGAGGGCACCACAATCCCTGATTTGAAATTATACTATAAAGCTACTGTACTAAAAACAGTGTGGTACTATCAACAAGCAGACCTAAATATCAATAGAATAGATTAGAAGATGCAGAAACAACTGCAGACACACTAAGTTACCTTATCTTTGACACAGGTACCAAACACATTCACTGGTAGAAAGATAACCTCTTTAATAAATGGTGTTGGAAAAAACTGGCTTTCCACATGCTCAAGATTAAAACTGGAGCCATACATTTCACAATGTACTAATCTAAGATCAGAATGGATTAAAGATCTTAGTATTAAAACAGAAATATTAAATCTTCTGGAAGACAGAGTAAAACTCTTGAAGACATTGGTGCAGTCAAAGACTTTATGTATAAAACCTGGAGTGCACAGGATTCATCACAAAGAATCAACAAATGGGACCTCATCCTACTGAAAAGTTTTTGCACAGCAAAAGAAACCACCAACAGAGTTAAGAGACAACATACAATGTCAAAGAAAATGTTTGACAGCTGTTCCTCAGATGAAGGATTACTATTGAGAACACATAAAGAACTCAAAAAATCAGTCCTTCTAGATTTTAAGACCCAATCCAAAAATGGGCATCTGAGGTATACACATATTTCTCAGATGAAGAAGTACAAACCACAAATAAATACATGAAAAAATGTTCAACATTACTGGTCATTTGAGAAATGTAAGTTAAAACAACACTGACATTTCACCCCACCCCAGAAAGAATAGCTAGTAGTAACAAATAAACTGATAACAAATGCTGGAGGGGATGTGGGCAAAAAGTAAAACTTTTCCACTGTTAGTGGAAATGCACACTGGTGCAATCACTGTGGAAATCAGTTTGGAGATTCCTCAAAAACTAGATTTGGAATTCGCACTTGACCCAGCTGTTTCTCTTCTGGGTACTATCCAAAAAGAATTAAAGCCATCATACCACAGTGATATATATGCACCCATGTTTATAATAGCAGCACAGTTTATAATAACCAGATTTCGGAAACAACCTAAATGCCCATCAACCAAGGAATGGATATAAAAGATATGGTATTTTTATACAATGGAATACTACTGAGCCATGAAGAATGATAAACTGGACACTTTTACAGGTAAATGGGTGTGCCTTGATAACATACATATTAGTTAAATAAATAAAACATGCATGTGTAAAGATCATATTGTTTCATTAGTGTGACAAGCTGAAAGAAAAACATGTATGTGTGTATTATATGTATATAAAAAGTTAAAATAGTTTTTAAAAAAGAAACATAATGACCTCCTTTGTCATCCACATGGCCGGTTCAGAAGAAAATTCAATGTTGCCCTTCGCTGCAGGTTCTGCCTTCCCTTCTACACCTTGTCCCAGTTCTTTTGTCTCAGAGTGAATGACCTCAGCAAAAGCAACGACTCAAGTCACACCTGCCTTTATTAACTAACCCACTGTAAGCCATTTTGAGTTGACTTTTGGATGTCTTGAGAAATTTTTGATGTGCTATAAGGTTTGCAATTTTTGCATATAGATATCCAGTTGCTCTAGTATATTTATTGAGGGTACAATCTTTTCTCCACATAATTGATTTTGCACCTTGGCCAGAAGTCTATTGTCTGTTATATGGATATCTATTTTGGGGCTTCATATTGGTATTTTGGTGTTTGACTATCTTGATATCAATGCCATTTTGCCATGATTTGTGTAACTTTGTGATAAGTTATGGGATTGGGGAGGGTGGAACCTCAAATTTTGTTCCTTTATCAAAGTCATTGAGAATATTCTGGGTCTTTTGAATTTATACTGAAGTGTAAAAATCAAAATGTTAATTTTTATAAAAACTGATGTTGGCATTTTGGTAAGAGATTATGTTTTCTGATCTTTATTATTTTCTCCTATTTGTTTCGGGTTTTATTCTGACTTTTATTTCTAATATCTTAAGGAAAGATCTGAGGATAGTTCGTAACTTTCTTTTTTGATAAATGTACTTAGTGTTAAAAAATAAAAATCAATATTATATTACAGCAAAGTAAACATTGTTTAAAAACAATAAAATGCTGTCATAGAAGTCAAACTATACAATTTTAATATATATCTAAAAGCTATAGAGGTCAAGACAGTATGCTGTTGGTGAAAGAATAGAACTGTAAACTAGACAGAATTGAAAGATAAAGGGGAAATAAAATTGAAAAATAAAACACAGAAGTAGGCCCACAAAAAGATAAACTGATTTTTACACAAACGTGCAATGTCAATTCAATGGAGAAATTAGTCATTTCAAGATATGATGCTGAATAACCTGAACATTATCACACCAAATACCTCATAACATATTCAAACAACCCAAACGGATAATTGTAAAGCACTTACAATAAAATATAGCAGGTAACTCATTACCTTGACTTAGGCAGAGTTCTTAGATATAAAAGAAAGTAAAGAAGAATATTTTCAATTAGGCTTCCAAAAAATTAAAAACATTTGATCTGCAAAGAGCATTGTTAATAGAATAAAATTATAAGCCACTGACTGGGAGAAAATATTTGCAAAAGACATGTTGATAAAGGACTTCTTTCCATAGTATACTAAATGTGCTAAAAATTCAAAATTAAAGAGGAAAAACCCCAAAACAATAAAAACTGAGCCAAGAATTTGAATACACACTTCACTGGAAAAGTTTACAAATAGCAAGTGAAATGAAAAAATGACAGGGATTTTTAACTATTGGAAAATGCAAATTAAAACCATAAAAATATTTCATCATTCCCATTCCAAATGGGTAATTTCTTTAAAAAATATTGTATTATTAAGTGCTAAAAAGAATACAGAAAAATTAAAACCCTCATACACTTCTATTAAAAAAAATGGCTACATACTATACCATTCCACTTGTATGACATTTTAGAAAAGGCAAAAATACAGGGAAAGAAAACTTATCGGTGGCTGCCAAGGTTAAGAATGAGAGGAGGCTGTGAAATCAATGATGAATATTATAAATTTCTATACATGTGTAAAAGCTCACAGTCCTATACATCAAACACACAAATATTCTGTATTTAAATTTTAAAAATAAAGCATGGTTGTGGTGGTTGTATTTCGGTGGCAGAATGCCTGCCTAAAATGCACAAATTCTTGGGTTTGATCCTCACCAATGTACACATGCAAAATATAAATAATTAAATGAGTAAATAAAGGGAAAAAACCCTCTTACGTTTCTCTCAAACTTCTTATACCCTCCTTGTTCTCTTCTATCATGAGAAATATCCTTAAGACAGTATCTTACAAAATGTTGCTAGATTTTCCCTTGACCATTACATAAATCTACTTATTATGGAAAACATCCATTTCTTGACCTATGAACATATATACACTGATAAATTCTGACTATATATCTCCAGCCCAACATTTTCTTTTTTTTTTTTTTAGTTTTTTTAGTTTTTAAAGAGTAAGACAGAATAAAGGATAGAAATAATACGGGATTTCAAAAAAATAGCCAATCAACACTAGTTAATATATTCCACATTGTTATCTTATAAGTAGTTGTTCAGGTTACAAGATCCAGGCATACAAATTGATCAAACAAACAATGAAAGCACAAACTATTCTTTTTGTCTAAGAGACATTACTACTTTAGGTATCTTCTTGCAAACATACACACTGTTATATGTGTATACCTACATATATATATATATATATATATATATATATATATATAATCTTCAATTTGCTTTTCCCTTATCCCAGGTATACTTCCCTTTTGAGCACTTTCTTTCCCTCTCATTATTACAGTATCTATTGTACATTTTGAATTTTATTACTCATTTAGTTTTTTTTACCTTACAGAAACAATATAATATTTACAAATGTATCATTTATTTCACTTACGAGTATAGTCTCAAGTTGCCTCCATTTATATATAGCAGCCTCAAGATTATCTTTTCATAGCTGAATAATATTCCATTGTATAAAAATATATTTTTATACATTTTGCAATTGGTAGGCATTTTGATTGTTTCCAATATCTGGTTAATACAAATTGTGCTGCTATAAACATGGGTGTACATATATCGCTTGACATGATATTTTCAATTTTTCTGGGAAAATATGCAGACGCAAGGTAGCTCGATTGAATGGGACTTCCAATCTTAGTTTTTTGAGAAACCTCCATACTGATTTCCACAGTGGCCACACTATGCTACACTCCCACCATCAGTGGAGAAGTGTTTATTTTTCTTCACAACCCCACCAATGTTTATTATCTGTTGACTTATTGATTGCAGCCATTCTTTCTAGAGTGAAATGCAATCTCAGTGTTATTTTAATTTGCATGTCTTGAATGGACAGTGATGGTGAACATTTCTTCATGTATTTATTTGTTATTTGTATTTGCCCATCTGAGAAGTTCATGTTCATCTCAGATACTCATTTTTGGTTTGGGTCTTTGAAGTTGGGGCCTAATGTTTTTCAATCCCTTATATGTTCTAGATAAAAGTCCTTTGTCTGAGGGACAACTGGGTGAATTTTATCCCATTCTGTGAGTTTTCTTTTCATTCTGTTAGTCATTTCTTTTGAAGTGCACAAAATTTTAAATAAGATGAGATTCTAGTTGTTGATCCTTTGAATTAATTCCCATGCAGTTTGCATTTTGTTCATGAACTCTTTGCCTACCCCCATGTCTTCAAGATTTTTACCTACCTTTTCTTCCAGTAGATTTAGTGTTTCTGTTTTAATATTTAGATCTTTGAATCATTTTGACTTTAGTTTACAGCATGGTGATAGTCATGGGTCTAGTTTCATTCTTCAGCACGTGGAAAGCTATTTTTTCTGAACCATTTATTAAAGAAGCTATCTTTCTTTCAGAGAACGTGATTAGCCCCTTTGTTAAATGTAAGGTGACTGAGTGTCTTTGTGATTGTGTTTGCATCTTCTAATCTGTTCCAATGATCCGTAGGTCTGTTTTTTGCCAGTACCATGCAGATTTTATCACTGTAGCTTTGTAGTAGAATTTAAAGTCAAGAATTGAGATGCCTCCTGCCTTGCTTCTGTTGCCCAGGATTGCTTTTGCTATTACAAGTCTGTTGTGTTTCCAAATGAATTTTAGAAATGCTTTCTCTAGATCTGTAAGATATCTTACTGATATTTTGATTGAGGCTGCATTATGTCTGTATAACAGTTTTGGGAGTATGGCCATTTTCACAAGGTTGCTTCTTCCTAATCAAGAACAACAGATATCTTTACATTTTCTGCTGTACTTTTCAATCATCTTTTTAACAGTACTATAGTTTTCAATGTATAGGTCTTTTACATGGTTTGGTACGTTGATTCCTAAGTATTTCATTTTTTTCTGATGTTATAATGAAATGTGTTTTTTCCATACTTTTTCTCTCAGAGAGTTTGTATTTATATACAGCAAGGCTATATTTTTTGAGTGTTGACTTTGTATCCAGCTACACTGCTGAATTTGTTTATCAACTCTAGTAGTATTTAGATTGAGTTTTGGGGGTCTTGTATATAGAGTGTCATGTCATCTGCAAATAATAATTTAGCTTTTTCCTTTCCCACCCTTATTGCTTTTACATGTCTCTTGTCTAATTGCTCTGGTTAATGTTTCCAGAATTATATTGAGCAAGAATGGTGATAGTGAAAATCCTTGTCTTCTTCCTGATTTTAGAGTGAAAGCTTTCAGTTTTTGTCCATTTAGTATAATGTTGGCTGTTGTTTTGTTACAATGGCCTTTATAATTTTGAGGTGAAAGCTATCTATTCTGATTTTCTGTAGGGTTTTCATCATGAAGAAGTGTTGGACTTTATCAAAAGCTTTTTCTGTATCTATTGAGATAATCATGTGATTTTTGTCTTTGGCTCTGTTGATTTGGCATATTACATTTACTGATTCATGCATGTTGAACCATCCCTGCATTCCTGGGAAAAATCCCCCTTTGTGATGATGTATAGTCTTCTTGATGATTTGTAGCATTCTATTTGCCAGTATTTTATTGAGAATCTTGGCATCAATACTCATAGGGAGATTGGCCTATAGTTCTCCTTTTTGTTTGAATTTTCTCTGGTTTTGGTATCATATTAACACTTGCCTCCAGGAATCACTTAGGGAAGATTGAATCCCTTTCAATTTCATTGAAAAAATTTGACGAGTATTGGCATTAAATCTTCTCTAAATTTCTTGTACAGTTCAGCCATGAATCCACTAGGACCTGGGCTTTTGCTTTTTGGTAAGATTTAATCAGACTTTCAATTTCAGTAGCTCATATTAGGTTATTCAAAATTGTTATATCTTCTTGATTTGGCTTTGGTAATTTATATATATATATATATATATATATATATATATATACATATATATATATTTGTCTTTTTCATTTTTATCGGTACCGGGGATCGAACTCACAACTGCCTGCTTACAAGGCAGGTACTTATGCCGCTGAGCTAAATCCCCAGC